TGTTTGCTCCACTCTTGTCCCTTACTGCCCAAGTGAGGGCCATCCACTAGAACATGTCCCTTATGATTGCTGATGTCATATGGCTAGCCTTGCATTAACAAGGATCGCACAGGGGTGCATTGTGATTGGCTGACTATAAATCTAGCCATTCTCAATGTAAAAGAAGGCAACCGTCAACTTTAAATGTTCCTATTATTTTATAATCATGTTTTACACTATCTAGCCCACCGCCACCCTTGCCCTTTTAATATAATAAAATATAATTCATCTTCTGCAACTGTCACTGGTCTAATACTATCCTTACCTTTTTGTGTCATTTTACCCCACTCCCTCTAGCATGTAAGCTCATTGAGCAGGGTCCTCAACCCCGCTGTTCCTGTTTGTCCAACTTGTCTGGTTACAACTACATGTCTGTTCGTCCACCCATTGTAAAACGCTGCGGAATTTGACGGCGCTCTATAAATATCATAATTATAATAATAATAATTATCTTTATTCCAGTCTGTTGGTGCTGGCTCTGCCCCGATCTGCCTCCTTTGCTGACATCGTCAATAGTGGCGATCTCCACCAACCACAATGCTTTCCCGTAGGAAAGCATTAGATTGGCTGAGATTGTTAAGGAGGCAGATCGGGGGCAGAGCCAGCACAAGACAAACACAGCCCTGGCCAAACAACATCTCCTCATAGCGATTCATATGAGCAAAGTTCAGTGTCTCCATGCAGAGGGTAGAGATACTGAATGTCAGTGCTGCACACTTTTCAGCACTGCCCCAGGAAGCACCTCTAGTAGGCATCTGAGGAGTGGCCAGTGGAGGTATCCGTAGGCTGTAATGTAAACACTGCCTTTTCTCTAAAAAGGAATGATTCTACTCACCAGAACAAATACAATAAGCTGCAATTGTCCTGGTGATAATAGTGTCCCTTTAAGTACTCTTTGTTTAGGGCACTGTTACATACTAGATACTGACTTTTATTTTCAATTCCTAATGAAGACAGTCACAAAAGTTATATAGAGTAATAGAGATGAGCGAACCCGAACTGTTAAGTTCGCGTTCGTACCGAACATTAAGATTTTTGCACCCCGAACCCGAACATTTCAGTAACAGTTCGGGTTCGAGTTTGGTGTTCGGCGATTTAATGGCGCGTTTTGAAAAGCTGCAGGGCAGCCAATCAACAAGCGTTTGACTTGTGTGCCCTTAGAAGCCATCACAGCCATGCCTACTAATGGCATGGCTGTGATTGGCCCGCGCAGCATGTGACCCAGCCTCTATATAAGCTGGAGTCACATGAGCTCTTATTAGTGTAGGGAGAGGATGCTGCAGCTGTGAGGGACAGATTACGAAAGAATTCTGGTGTTGAATTTGCAAACCACAGCGATTATTTTTGTTCATGCTATACTACATTTTTGTACCCTGCCCTGAGCCCAGTGCCACAGAGAAATAAGCAATCAGTCTGTTTGTTAGGTGGGCACTTGCAACTGCATGTGTGCCAGGCACATTACTTTAATCCTGTTCTGGTAGCTGAGTGGGCAACATCTACCGTGTTTCCCCGAAAATAAACCCTACCCCGAAAATAAGCCCTAGTCGGATTTTCAGGGTGGGCTGCAATATAAGCCCTACCCCGAAAATAAGACCTAGGCATTGTACCTTTGCGGCGAGACTTCCTTCTTCTGCTGTAGGAGGAGCGTCGCGCAACGTGATGACGACATTTTGCAGCGCCGTCAGTCTGCCTTCACAGATCTTCAGCGGAAGGATCCATTTCCGGGCGGTGAGGCTCCCAGTGGTCAGACTCGGCAAGGAATCTTTGAAATGTGAGTACCGCTAGATATTTTATGTCTGGGATTAATTGAATTAATTAAAGGGGGTGGGGGGGGTGAATTAATTAAAGGGGGGGTGAATTAATTAAAGGGTGGGCTGAATTAATTAAAGTGGTGGTGAATTAATTAAAGGGTGGGCTGGATTAATTAGAGGGGGGTGAATTAATTAAAGGGGGGTGAATTAATTAAAGGGGGGTGAATTAATTAAAGGGTGGACTGGATTAATTAGAGGGGGTGAATTAATTAAAGGGGTGGTGAATTAATTAAAGGGTGGACTGGATTAATTAGAGGGGGTGAATTAATTAAAGGGGTGGTGAATTAATTAAAGGGTGGGCTGGATTAATTAGAGGGGGGTGAATTAATTAAAGGGTGGGCTGGATTAATTAGAGGGAGTGAATTAATTAAAGGGGTGGTGAATTAATTAAAGGGTGGGCTGGATTAATTAGAGGGGGTGAATTAATTAAAGGGGGGTGAATTAATTAAAGGATGGACTGGATTAATTAGAGGGGGTGAATTAATTAAAGGGGTGGTGAATTAATTAAAGGGTGGGCTGGATTAATTAGAGGGGGGTGAATTAATTAAAGGGGTGGTGAATTAATTAAAGGGTGGGCTGGATTAATTAGAGGGGGGTGAATTAATTAAAGGGGGTGAATTAATTAAAGGGTGGGCTGGATTAATTAGAGGGGGTGAATTAATTAAAGGGGTGGTGAATTAATTAAATGGTGGGCTGGATTAATTAGAGGGGGGTGAATTAATTAAAGGGGTGGTGAATTAATTAAAGGGTGGGCTGGATTAATTAGAGGGGGTGGATTAATTAGAGGGGGGTGGATTTATTAAAGGGGGGGTGGATTAATTAAAGGGGGGGTTCAATGTACATACCGGTACCGTAAATAAATAAGCCCTACCCTGAAAATAAGCCCTAGTGTGTTTTTTGTGACTAAAATTAATATAAGACCCGGTCTTATTTTCGGAGAAACACGGTAGGCATTTTTAAATACTGCTGTGACATTGCAGTTTGACAAATTCACATTTTTTTGGTGCTAAAAAGTAAATTTGTGGCATGCACTTCATATCTGAGAGTCAAATAGAACCGTCAAATACTATGGTTACATCGCACTTTGAAAAATTCAAATTTTTTTGGTGCTAAAAAGTAAATTTGTGGCGTGCACTTCATATCTGAGAGTCAAATAGAACCGTCAAATACTGTGGTTACATCGCACTTTGAAAAATTCACATTTCATTGTGCTAAGAAGTAAATTTGGGGCGTGCACTTCATATCTGAGCGTTAAATAGAACCGTCAAATACTGCTGTGACATAGCAGTTTGACTAATTCACATATTTTGTTTGGTGCTAAAATGTAAATTTGGGGCGTGCTCTTCATATCTGAGAGTGAAATAAAAACGTTAAATGCTGTGGTTACATCGCACTTTGAAAAATGCTAATTTTTTTGGTGCTAAAACTAAATTTGTGGCGTGCACCTCATATCTGAGAGTCAAATAGAACCGTCAACAACTGTGGTTACATTGCACTTTGAAAAATTCTAATTTTTTTGCTGCTAAAAAGTAAATTTGTGGCGTGCACTTCATATCTGAGAGTCAAATAGAACTGTCAAATACTGTGGTTACATCGCACTTTGAAACATGCTAAAAAAAATTGTGCTAAAAAGTAAATTTGGGGCGTGCACTTCATATCTGAGAGTCAAATAGAACCGTCAAATACTGTGGTTACATCGCACTTTGAAAAATTCACTTTTCTTTGGTGCTAAAAAGTAAATTTGGGGCGTGCACTTCATATCTGAGAGTGAAATAAAAACGTCAAATGCTGTGGTTACATCGCACTTTGAAAAATGCTAATTTTTTTGGTGCTAAAAAGTAAATTTGTGGCGTGCACTTCATATCTGAGAGTCAAATAGAACTGTCAAATACTGTGGTTACATCGCACTTTGAAACATGCTAAAAAATGTTGTGCTAAAAAGTAAATTTGGAGCGTGCACTTCATTTCTGAGAGTCAAATAGAACCGTCAAATACTGTGGTTACATCGCACTTTCCAATTTTTTTAGTGCTAAAAAGTAAATTTGTGGCGTGCACTTCATATCTGAGAGTCAAATAGAACCATCAAATACTGTGGTTACATCGCACTTTGAAAAATTTGAATTTTTTTGGTGCTAAAGGTAAATTTCGGGCGTGCACTTCATATCTGAGAGTCAAATCGAACCGTCAAACACTGTGGTTATATCGCACTTTGAAAAATTCAAATTTTTTTGGTGCTATATGGTACATTTGTGGCCTGCGGTGCATTTCTTGCAGTCCAATAAAACCCTTAAATACTACTCTTACATTGTTGGTTTAAAAAATCACACTTTTTTGTGCTTAATAGAACATTGCAGCCAGCGGTGCATTTCTTGCAGTCCAATAAAACCCTTAAATACTACTGTTACATTGTTGGTTTAAAAAATCACACTTTTTTGAGACAGTGAAGTAACTGTATTAATTACGTCTGTCACACTGTTGTATGACCTCTAGAAATTTTTCCTCTTTAGGACACCGGCACTGATTTATTGTCAGTGAACTTAATTGTTGACTATTGGTGGTTACATTGTCGCCTGACATAAACCATCTGTTAGTTTGGGCCTGAGGCGGATAGCAGTTTGGCGCATGTCCATCCACCACCGAGGATTGCAGGGCATTTCAGCATTTCTCTTTGCCTCCTGGTGCCTTCTCCTCCTACTACGCTTCCTCCTCCTCCTCTGCCACCTCCTCATCCGGTCAGCGTAACACCTTCACCACCAACTTCAGCACAGCCAGGGGGAAACGACAGCAGGCTGTTTTAAAACTCATACATTTGGGGGGGAAAAACCCACACCGCGCAAGAGCTGTGGACGGGCATGGAACAACAGACCGATGAGTGGTTGTTGCCACTTAGCCTCAAGCCCGGGCTGGTGGTGTGCGATAATGGGCGAAATCTCGTAGCAGCTCTGGGCCTAGCCGGTTTGACGCACATCCCTTGCCTGGTGCATGTGCTGAATTTGGTGGTGCAGAAATTACTACCCAGATATATCAGAGCTGCTGCAGAAAGTGCGGGCCCGCCTGTGCGTTCTCACTCTCCTGTCTGCGCTGCAGCATAACTTCAGCCTTCCCGCTCACTGCCTCATATGCGACGTGCCCACAAGGTGGAACTCCACCTTGCACATGCTGGAGAGACTGTGCGAGCAGCAGCAGGCAATAGATCCTCGTTAAAGGATTTAAAGTGTACTCATTCCAATTACAGAGCCTCGAAAGAGTCCTGTATTGTTATTTTTCGCCACTACCTCCCCGAATCGGCAGTGGGTAATTTGCGTGCCTGCTGCCTTCCTTGGATGTGGTAGCCATTTCGCAGGCTGCCTCAATGGAATCGAACCCTGATTCCACGTTACCCGTGGTCACCATGGTAAGCGCAGAAAGTACCATCGAAAGTTGATAGGGCAGACATCCGAATGCGTCGTCGCCATCACGGGGGCGTGCGATCGGCCCGAGGTTATCTAGAGTCACCAAAATGCCTGCGCAACGATTGCTGAGTTGCCCACATTCTAACTTGTGCTGATTACTGGGTGGCCAACCAGGCATGGATCCTACTTGTATGTACCTTGTGCAGAATAGACATTTATACCGGCCTCACCCAGCCATTGTAATACTCAAGTGCACTTATTCTTTGTTTTCTTTTTTTATATGTCCCAATATTTTGGGGGCTACCCCAATTGTTTGCAGGGCACTCATCCTACTCTTACCCCCATTTTACTTCCTTTTGCAGCCCTCTAGCCCTTTCCAGGTCTTTTTAAGAGCCATTTTAGTGCCCAAAAGTTCAGGTCCCCATTGACTTCAATGAGGTTCGGGTTCAGGGTCAAGTTCGGGTTAAGTTCGAGGCCAAGGGGGCGGGGCCTGACAGCCAAGCTAGCCAGACATGTATGCAGAGAGCTCTGACACAAACAAGCTCAATATTGGCTATTACTGGGCAATCTTGAATATAGCAGTCCTGCTCAACGATATCTCATTGCTGAATCGTGAGGGGGCTTTTGGACACCTGTTTTGTGAACTTTTGTCGAAAAATACCACGCTCCACAAATGCGGCCTAGCAAGGAAAGCGACCTAGTGCTTGGGTGAGGCGGTCGACCTCCCCCCTGAGTACCGCTATAAGCAGCAGCTCTCATGGCGTCCTGCATCCCCCCCTCTGGACCGGTGGGGGTCATCCCGGTCCCCACTGGTGAATCCCACAAACTTACCACAAAAGACTGAACTGCCAGAATGGGGACCGCGGTTCGGGCCCAACATGGCAGCCGAGCAACAACCCCTGCAATCTCAAGCAAGCCCTGAGATCCAGACCTGGAGAGAGCACTTTGAGGCTCGATTTGATCGAATCTGCCAGGAATTCTGGAAGCGCATGGAGCATAAAGCCACCCACTCTGATCTAACTGCTATGAAGGGGAAGGAGGCTGAAGCAGCAACTTACCGATCCAGCGCCCACACGGAGTCGCGCCCATCTTGCCGACGGGCCCGCCGGCATACTCTCCCAGCACCGAACCACAAAGCAGCATGCCAATACCAACCACTCATCTTACAATCTGTCCGCAACTTCTCTGCACGATGCTCAGGTGGGAGCCAACTAAATTCTCGCAAACCACTCCGTCGGAGGGTGCACACATGGCAACGCAGATCAGTGGCGTACACATGACCCATGGGGCCCCGGTGCGAAAATTGATCCGTGGGCCCCCCCCCCGCGCGCGCGGGCCCGAACACATGGCGGTGGACATCTGGTCGCAGGGCTGCGACACCTGCTACCGCGGTATGTACGCCAGTGCATGCAGATGCACACACACTTAAAGGACCACTACAGACACCCAGATCACATCAGCTCAATGCCTTTTAGAGAAACTGCTATGTTTCACTGAGGGTTAATCCAGCCTCTACTGGCTGTCTCACTGACAGCTGCTAGAGGAGCACACTGAACGTCCACAGGAAAGCATTGAGTAATGCTTTCTTATGGGCGGTTTGAATGCGTGCGCGGTGCGCATTCGGAGCTGAGAGGCTGAGGGATCCCCAGCGCCAAGGGAGTCCGGCGCTAGAGAAAGGTAAGTGCTGAAGACACACACACACACACTCTCACCTACAGACGCATACACACTAGCTAACAGACACATACATTTACTAACAGAGACACACTCAGTGACAGACATACATACACACTCACTTACAAAACATACACTCTCATTGACAAACACACACTAACAGACATCAAACAGACTCACTAACACACACAGACACACTCCGTAACAGACACACACAGTAACACACTCACTGACACTCACTAGCAGACACACTCAGACACACTCACTGACACTCACTAGCAGACACACACTCTAACACTAACACTCACTCTAACACTAACACACTCTAACACTCACACTAACACTCACTCTAACACACACACTAACACACACACTAACACTCACTCTAACACTAACACTCACTCTAACACACTCTAACACACACTAACACACACTCTAACACTCACTCTAACACACACTCTAACACACACTAACACACACTCTAACACACACTCTAACACACACTCTAACACTCACTCTAACACTCACTCTAACACACACACTAACACACACTCTAACACTCACACTAACACTCACACTAACACACACTCTAACACTCACACTAACACACACTAACACACACACTAACACTCACTCTAACACACACTCTAACACTCACTCTAACACACACTAACACACACTCTAACACTCACACTAACACTCACACTAACACACACTCTAACACTCACACATGTGTTTTTTTTTTTTTTAATTTAATCCCCCCCAGCCTCCTTACCTTTTGGAGTGCTGGCGGGATTCCCTGGGGTCCAATGGCGCTGCTGGGCTCCTTGGCGGGTGGCCGGTCAGGCAGGCGCGCGAGGGAGCACTTTCTCCCTCGCGCGCCCGCCCACCCGCCTGCCGGGTGACACAAGGGCCAGCCTTGGGGGGCCCTGGGGAGGCTGGCTCCTGGGCCCCCCAGGAGAAGAGGCTGGCCCAGTGGGTACATATCGGGTCGCAGGGTCGGCCGGGCTCCCTGGTGGGCCGGGCCCGGTCGCAGTCGCGACCCCTGCGACCCTGGTATGTACGCCACTGACGCAGATTCAAAGCACAGAGAAGGCCCGGAGGCCAAGATCCAGCTACTGGACTAGATGGCTTTGCAGTTGGCGCAGTACAAGAGTACACAGGCACTTGGGACCGGTGCGGCCCTCACCTGCAGGGGGGTGGACTCATGTTCCCCAAGGTGGACAGTCTGCCATCAATAGGCATTGGTTAAGCAGTCCCAGGCAGAGGCATCTAACCCCCTAATGCAAAGCTTATCCTCACTTGCTACAAGGGGATGAGCAATAACCCCCACTGGCTCATCCTTCCTTTGTATGCTCTCAGGTGGAGGTGTTGCCCCAAGGTTATGTGGTTGTTTTTTTTTACTTTCATCCCTTAGCAGTCACACCTGTAATGCGACCAGCTCAGGACTGCATCTAGTTTCAGTGGAAATTGTGCATTCATTTTTAGTTCCTTTTTTATTTTAATTCCAATATGTTTATGTGCCAGTCAAATTAATGTAGCTAATTTTACCTACTGCTTATAACCAGCTAATACCATGCCTAGCAATTACTTTTGTATGAAAAAATGCTATTTCCACATATTATAAACATAAGTACCCAGTCGCTACCAAACTCAAGAGTTAATCATAGTTAAGCATGTTATATAACTCTCTCCTCTTTGACAAAGTTAATGTCAGCCTACACTACTTTCAATCAAGCTTAATGCCTTATCATTCTCTGACATAACCTATAGTAACCTGTTAGTTACGCAAAAATGTGCAGTTCTCTTATATGCCACAGTATAATGCCTTGTGAAATGCCTGTACTGGCAAAATATGTATGTCTGTCAAACTTTTGCACAACAAAAATAAAGAATTAAAAAAATTAAAAAAAAGTTTGAGGCCGAACTCGAACATCGCACTTTGAAAAATGCTAATTTTTTTGGTGCTAAAACTAAATTTGTGGCGTGCACCTCATATCTGAGAGTCAAATAGAACCGTCAACAACTGTGGTTACATTGCACTTTGAAAAATTCTAATTTTTTTGCTGCTAAAAAGTAAATTTGTGGCGTGCACTTCATATCTGAGAGTCAAATAGAACTGTCAAATACTGTGGTTACATCGCACTTTGAAACATGCTAAAAAAAATTGTGCTAAAAAGTAAATTTGGGGCGTGCACTTCATATCTGAGAGTCAAATAGAACCGTCAAATACTGTGGTTACATCGCACTTTGAAAAATTCACTTTTCTTTGGTGCTAAAAAGTAAATTTGGGGCGTGCACTTCATATCTGAGAGTGAAATAAAAACGTCAAATGCTGTGGTTACATCGCACTTTGAAAAATGCTATTTTTTTTGGTGCTAAAAAGTAAATTTGTGGCGTGCACTTCATATCTGAGAGTCAAATAGAACTGTCAAATACTGTGGTTACATCGCACTTTGAAACATGCTAAAAAATGTTGTGCTAAAAAGTAAATTTGGAGCGTGCACTTCATTTCTGAGAGTCAAATAGAACCGTCAAATACTGTGGTTACATCGCACTTTCCAATTTTTTTAGTGCTAAAAAGTAAATTTGTGGCGTGCACTTCATATCTGAGAGTCAAATAGAACCATCAAATACTGTGGTTACATCGCACTTTGAAAAATTTGAATTTTTTTGGTGCTAAAGGTAAATTTCGGGCGTGCACTTCATATCTGAGAGTCAAATCGAACCGTCAAACACTGTGGTTATATCGCACTTTGAAAAATTCAAATTTTTTTGGTGCTATATGGTACATTTGTGGCCTGCGGTGCATTTCTTGCAGTCCAATAAAACCCTTAAATACTACTCTTACATTGTTGGTTTAAAAAATCACACTTTTTTGTGCTAAATAGAACATTGCAGCCAGCGGTGCATTTCTTGCAGTCCAATAAAACCCTTAAATACTACTGTTACATTGTTGGTTTAAAAAATCACACTTTTTTGAGACAGTGAAGTAACTGTATTAATTACGTCTGTCACACTGTTGTATGACCTCTAGAAATTTTTCCTCTTTAGGACACCGGCACTGATTTATTGTCAGTGAACTTAATTGTTGACTATTGGTGGTTACATTGTCGCCTGACATAAACCATCTGTTAGTTTGGGCCTGAGGCGGATAGCAGTTTGGCGCATGTCCATCCACCACCGAGGATTGCAGGGCATTTCAGCATTTCTCTTTGCCTCCTGGTGCCTTCTCCTCCTACTACGCTTCCTCCTCCTCCTCTGCCACCTCACACTAACACTCACACTAACACACACTCTAACACTCACACTAACACACACTAACACACACACTAACACTCACTCTAACACACACTCTAACACTCACTCTAACACACACTAACACACACTCTAACACTCACACTAACACTCACACTAACACTCACACTAACACACACTCTAACACTCACACATGTGTTTTTTTTTTTTTAAATTTAATCCCCCCAGCCTCCTTACCTTTTGGAGTGCTGGCGGGATTCCCTGGGGTCCAATGGCGCTGCTGGGCTCCTTGGCGGGTGGCCGGTCAGGCAGGCGCGCGAGGGAGCACTTTCTC